GTGACTGCCCACGGGGAAGCTGGCACTGCCCCGCGCCTTTCTTGGGCATGGAGGCCTCTCGTCTCTAGGGCTGTTGGATCTGGCGCCCGTTCACCAGCGCTGGGTGTGCTCGGCAAACCCACCCATCGCTGCGAGTGCTTTATTCAGAGCACGCGGGGAAAACCACACGTGACCGAACACTGTGTGGGGCCGTGGCCGCAGACTCGCAGATGCTGACTTGGAAGATAATTGCGTACAGCTCTCTAAAACGTGTAGGGGACGGCATGTTTCATAACAGCGGAACGCCCCTCAGAGGCAGGAAAACGAGCCCTGTTTCCTTGTCTCCGTTGTTTTTCCCCTTCATCCCATGTGAGCCCCACTGGTTTATTATGGTAGGGTTAGTCTTGAACCGGCAGGTCCATGCATTAGTTTGCTATTGTAGAGGTGCTCATAAACCCTGAACTGCATGAGGTTTGTCACTGCCAGGTTGGTCATGGGCTCCATGTACTGATTTGTTATTGTAGGGTTGCACCTAAGGACAGAGTGCCACGCACTGGCTTGTAGCGATGCTCAGAGGTATGGGCTGCGGCACGCCCTAGTTTGTTGCTGTAGAGTTGGGCATAAATGCTGAGCTGCCGTCAGTGGTTTGCTGCTGTTTGCCTGTTCCAGGAAACAGTCGTGGAAGCCTTTGTCTTCGGGATATAAGGCAGCTAGGGAATCACAACGGGTGTCAGGAAAAAAGGGGAAATTGTTGGTAGGTTTCCCCCCCTCCCCTCCTTTGACAGTGTCCCTTAAAAAAACAAACAAGAACCACCCACATCTTTTATGTCTTAAATGCAAGAGAAATGTGTGTTGCAGACAGGACTGCGCTGGGGTAAAACAGAGCCCGTTTCACAAGATAACGGGGCCTCTTACAACAACAATCCAGGATTGGGCTTAAGAAGGATTCACCCCTTCCCCATCCCAGTCCTCTCCTCTTGCCAAAAGCTGTATAGGTTCTGGTCAGATAAGTGTCCAGGTGGTCAGGGGCTTCCCGGAGTTCTGAGGCTCTTCGCTCTGCAGATTTCCTGTTGAGACACTTGTGGATCATAGAGTTAGATCTGGATCTAAACATCCCTGAAGCCTGAGAGCTTGAATGGGCAGCTGCACACTTCCTGTATTAAATGGTTTCCTTTGTTTGATTAAGGAACAACAATGCAAAGAAAGAACAAAAGTAAAGTCTCAGCCAGAAAGAGCATGGTGTGTGCCTCCCCTCTGGAACAGGCTGCAGCAGCAGCTCTGAGAGCCATATGGCTTCTGCCTCTGCAAGTAGATGAATTTTAGAAATGTAAAAGTGCAGGAGGCAGGAAACAGGCACCTCCATTTCCAGTGTACACAGAGCACACTGCTGAGTCTCTGATGCTGCCTGCTTGCGGCTGGGATGGAAAACTGAGAGAGGAAAACCATTCTTAGGGGATAACAGCAGTTCCGCTTCTGGCCCTCGCCAAAACCAGGTAGCACAATAGAGGAAAAATGAGTTAAAATGTGAGTTAAGAAGGTTTGGGATGAGTAATTTTGGGCTGGTTCTTATTCTACCCAGGCCAGTTTGCCCATCCCTACACAGAATAATGATGTAACAGTGAAGGTTTATCTGTGAAACATTTCTGTTGTGTTTTCTTAGAGGGTGTCTCAAATGCCAGGTGTTACTGACCAAGCGAGCTGGGTGGCAGTGGCTTGGTGACCTGGGACGTGTGCACCCGGATCTAAGTTTCCTTTTTTAAAAAGTCTCAAATCCCTTGTGATTGCAAAGAACTTTCAAAGTGGGACCAGAGTGTGAGTGGTGTAGCGATATCTGCCTTGGGCAGCCTGAACTTTCCCATTCATCTGAATGAGATGATGATGATGATATGTTGACTCTGAAACCTAACAATGGCTGGTTAACTGTCAGCTCTTTCATGGCTGATCAAGGCATGCAGTAAAGGAAACAGTCTCACAAATTACGGAGCCTGCTGTGAGTGGAGTCTAGTTTGAGTGTCCAGGGGGTGGGGCTTGGTTTGTAGCTTGGGAGAGTACCATGACATTTGTTTCCAATTCAGTCCCTGACTTCGCTCTCCCCCAGAGGTAGCATATTAGTGTCAGGCTTCATAAGAGAGAGACAAAGCCAAAAAGGAGGAGGCGATGAAAGAAAAGGGAGAGAGGGAAATGTCAGAGCAGGGAGGGTTGCAATTCAATGGTGTTAAGGGTCCAGGGAGACAGGCTAGAGGTCTTGAGGGACAACAGAGAGGTGGATGGTTGGACAGGAAGAAGATGTGCCGAGATGGATGGGTGAACAGATGCTCCAGGTGGAAATCTGCAGAACCACACTTGAGCTCTTTGCATTTCCACTCTCGTTGCTTGAATGTGCCAAACAGGCCATCCCATCTGTTCCTCATTAGGAACTCGAGGTCTCGGAGAGATTCATTAATGCTGCACTGCTGTCAGCTCTGGCAGAGAGAACCTCATGGCACAGACGTTGGTGTCCCCATCCCACCCTCGCCTCGCTAGTCTACCTGGCGCCGGGAACCCCGCTGTGGTGTTAAAAGCTCTGATGATTCATGCCTCATGCCAAGAACGCCTCCCTGGTGCTGTTCTCTCACTCCTGGCACCAGGATCTGCCCTGGGAACCCGATTCTGATTCGCGAAAGCAGCTCTGGCGCCAGGAAATCCACCCAGCTGCTGGTAACTCAGCCTTGGCACTACTAACCCATCCACCCCGGCGCTAGCAATACAACGTTGGCACCGGCTATGCACCCCAAGGCCAGTAACGTGATCCTGCTCTGTGCCGTTACTCCACCCTGGCACTAGATATGCAGAGCGCTGCTCGGTGCAGGGCTGCCTGCCGGCTCCGCTCCCCAGCGGAAAGAAGCAGGGTGTGTCTGTGACGCCTGGAGAGCTCTGAGCAGCAAACCTTCAGTGACCGGCTTCCCTCCCTGAAAACAGAGAAAAGAATAAAACCCACGTTATGATCATTTCACAAACGCAAGCCGCCCCTTTGGCCCCGACGGGACTGCTGGCGTGTCAGCTGTTTGCACGCCCTGTGTGTGCACGAGGGCTGGTAACGTAGCCGTGGCCTGTAGCCACCCTGGCAGTGCCTGGCAGCACTGGATAGAAGCGAGCGCCTCTCGGTGGGGGAGATCCAGGAATTGTTCTGTGCCATCTGTCCATGTGCTGGCATCTTCCTCCCGTCTCTGGCCGTGGGATTCTGGCACTGTCTGCTTTCTCCTGGGGTTGGTAATCTGGTCATGGTGCCAGCCCCTCCGTGCTTGTGCCCATAACTCCGTCTCAGGGCAGCAAACTGTATGTTGGTCACTCCATTGTAGTGTCAGCAATTCTTTTGAATGGGAGTTCCTAGCGCTGACCCCTTCTGGCCATGAAAGACCCCACAACACTTTTCCTAAAAGCCGGGGCATTCGCTCCAGCATCCCGGTCCTATTCCAAACAGCGCAATTCTGTTGTGCTTGCGTAGATCATCCGTGTCCCCCCCTCCCCACCTTCAATGTAGTGTCATTCTGCACTTCCTGTCCTAAAGTGTCGTGGGCAGCCTATGGGCCCGCTTAGAATACAAAATCGCTGGGTCACTCGACCTGGCTACATCCCACTTGTCTCCTGACAGTTCCAATATTGTTGTGCCTTGTCATGTAGATGGGACCTAAACCCGTGTCTGCTGTAGCCCTCCTGCCGCACAGTTCAGGGACGTGGGATCTGATATGCTTGGGTTGGTATCTAACAAATGTCACTCATTTTAATCCCAAAATGTCCTACATTCCCCATTCTCGGAGAATTATTTGACAGAAATAAAAATTCGTGCTCCAGAGGTTCTAGTGAGTGATTGATGCTAAAGGAGGGAAGCCCACATAGTTTGTTTCCTGCATACATAATGTTTAGGTGCCTGTCATTTTGGGGGTTCTTCAGGCATTTCTTTCCATATTGGGGCCGTGGCAGACGGAAAGGCATGCTTAGGTCCTGTCCGTGCTAGGAGGTGGAACAATGTTTCAGACACGACACCGTGTTGTGACTTGGTTGCTCTCGCAACGTAGACGGGCCTTTTCTGTACGCTGTCAGACAGCTCTTGTGTTCCACCCCAGAGGTGGCCGCATTTCGATGCAAGGAGATTTGACTGGCATGAAAAGGCATACAAGTGGTGCGAAGGTATATTTTAAAAAAAGATCTGTCCGAGAGGAATAAGTGACACACCGTTTGGGCGCTTGATCCCCTGTTTGTCAGAAGCGTCCAGGCCTGATCAGCTGGTAGGTCACTGTGGCATGTGTGCCATCTCTGCCGTCCCTTTCCTGGCTCCCAGGGTCAGTGGTAGATGGATCGACTTGGGGTACAGTCGGCTTCTGCAGTTGGTCGGAGTGCTTTGGGATCTTTGGAGACGGAAAGGGCTGTAGATCTGTGAGATGATGTCATTATTTATTAGCTCAAATCTCCTGCTGCCCTGCCGTGACCCTTGCGCTTTGATTTGCCGCTGTAGTGCATTAAAGCTCTGGAGAGCCTTCCTCAGAGATGATTTCTCCAGGGCCCGCAGCAGCCTGGAGCTGTTACATCCCTGCTGCCAAGTCTCATCCCCACACACCTGTCCCGGTTCCCCTCTTGGATCCGCAGCAGATTCACAGGCATGGAGAAAGTTGGTCCTTGTGCATCTCGAGGAAGAATCGAGGGGTTAACAACTGGACTGTTCCATTTCTCCTCTTCTGTATGATGCACCTTGGTTTTTTCCCGAATGGTTCAGCCAGAAAGAGAAAAGCGGGAGGGGGAACAAAGGGGAACATGTCACTATCTCTAATCTATCTGTCATTTTTATTTTACAGCCAGTGTCGGGGAGGAGGGGAGCATGAAGCTGCTAGGACAATGCTGAGGAGGCCCCCGACCCGGACCCCAGGGAGGATCTGAAAACAGGTGAACGCAGAAGGAGGAGCGAGGTGGGGGGGGAGGAAGACGGACGGAAGGAAAGCAGGCTAGGAAAAAGCCTGGAGCTCCTTGGGAGTGGATCCCGGCTGCAGAGGGCTACGCCATGGCTACGAATTTTAACGACATCGTCAAACAAGGCTACGTGAAAATGAAGAGCAGGAAATTGGGGGTAAGTGGGGAGGGGATTGTGATGCATGATTCATTATCGCTAGCTTTGAAGGTCTCTCCTCCCCCCCCCCCCCGTCTTCCTCC